TTTTGTTGTTAGGTTAGTATAAGGATTGCTCTTGTTCATGGTTCAGAGCGAGTTGTTTCCGGCTCTGAACCCGGATCCGGACATCTGCTCTGACGAAGCTGGGGTCTCAGACTGCTGACGACCGCGAGCCGCCGCCACCCTTGCAGAAGCTGCCACTTAGGGGTTTGGGGCGTCGGGCCTGTGGCGAGGATTTAGGGTCCAGGGATGAGATTTCAGAACGGGGAGGCCTTCTTCGACAGAGCACAGCCTCAACTGCCGGATGCTGAGACTGTGGCTAGGGTGGGGAAAGCCTCGGCTTGGGCGCCAGTATCGAAATCCTGTCGGTCACGCAGACGACGCACACTCCAAGTTGGCATGAGCTCGCGTGCAGCTCCTTCGGCTGAGCTGGAGCGGCTTTTCTGGGCCTGCACATAGTGTGAGCAAGGCAGGCCAGGACATGAAGAAGCTCAGCAGCACTTGCACCAGCAGTAGCAGCAGCAGTAGTGGTGGTGGCAGTAGTAGTAGCACAGCCACAGCCACAGCCACTGCTACAACTGGTAATTGTTGTTGCTGTTGCTGCTGCGCAGCAGCACAGCAGCAGGAGGAGGAGTAGGAGTAGGAGTAGGAGTAGGAGTAGGAGTAGGAGTAGGAGTAGGAGTAGGAGTAGGAGTAGGAGTAGGAGTAGGAGTAGGAGTAGTAGTAGTAGTAGTAGTAGTAGTAGTAGTAGTAGTAGTAGTAGTAGTAGTAGTAGTAGTAGTAGTAGTAGTAGTAGTAGTAGTAGTAGTAGTAGTAGTAGTAGTAGTAGTAGTAGTATAGTAGTATTAGTAGTAGTAAAGTAGTAGCAGTAGCAGTAGCAGTAGCAGTAGCATTAGCAATAGCAGTAGTAGTAGTAGTAGTAGTAGTAGTAGTAGTAGTAGTAGTAGTAGTAGTAGTAGTAGTAGTAGTAGCAGTAGTAGTAGTAGTAGTAGTAGTAGTAGTAGTAGTAGTAGTAGTAGTAGTAGTAGTAGTAGTAGTAGTAGTAGTAGTAGTAGTAGTAGTAGTAGTAGTAGAGGTAGAATAGTAGGAGCAGCGGCAGCAAGAGTATTAGTGGTGGTAGCAAAAGTCGTCGTAGTAGTACAGTAGCAGCAGCTGTAGCAGGAGGTAGCTGTAGCGGTAGCGGTAGCAGGAGCAGTGCAGTAGCAGTTAGTAACAGGAGGATTGGTGGTAGTACTGGTGGCGGTGGCGGTGGCTGTCGCGGTGGCGGTGGTGAGTGATGGTGATGGTTGTGGCGGTCGACTTGGTGGCGGTGCACTAGCACAGTGCTCACGCGTATTTCGTGGCGGCCAAAAACAGTGTCCGTCAATGCTGTGCTGAGGCTGTGGCTTTGCCCATTCCTCCAGCGTCATTTCTCGTCTGGGCGGGGAGACCGACTGTGCAGACTCTGCTGCACCTCAACGATCAGCGGCATTGTTTGAACTGCTAACTGTTATAACCACCGCGTGATTTGTCTTGTGACTGAGCCCAGCGCCTGCAGCCACCGCGGCCGCACTGTCCCGTGGCCTCAAAGCCCATCTATGCTTCAAGCTAAGGAATATTGGTGAGCATGTGACATGTGGGGTTTCGTAGGGCTTTCGTCACAGAGATACTTGCAACAGCGACGCCTTACACTGGCCCAAGCCTCAGCGCCAACTTCGCCGAAAGCATATACATGCCAGAAGCAGGCAGAGAATGTACGAGGCGTAGCATGTGTTGCCAACGATGGAGGATGCAGTTTGGGCTTCTCGTTCTGTCTTGGGCGATCGCAAGCTTTGGGCGGATCCCGGCCAAGTCTTGAGAACATACTTCCGAGAACAAAAGACCCTCGAAATGACGACCTGCTGTATAGCCGATTGGTACGAGTAAAGCTCTGGAAGCGGGTTTATCATACAAAGCAAACTTCAGAAGTGGATTTGTTTGCTGCTCGGTGCCGGACGCTCCCCACTTCACGTTCTCAGCAACCTGCCACAGTGAGAGTTCGGCGAGGGGGGTGAAAGCAAGCCTTCCAATGGAGATGCTGAGCCCGTGACGGGCACGCTGCTCCCTCCCAAGCTTGGGAATGCCTTGCACAGCGCTGAGGCAAAAGCTGGCCACTTGAGGCTCACTTCAATACATGATATACTAGAACCATCCACTAGAATCTTCTATGACATACTATAACAAATAGGTTCTGGAGGTCCTTTGGTGTCCCTGCGGATGCCGGCCTCCGCCCCCGTGTCCAGCAAGTTTTTGCCTCGAACACGATCGGCAGCGTTCGGGCCCTCACAGGCTCAAAATCGCCAAAGTCTCTCCCATCCGAGCGTGTATCCCAATACCTACAAGCGGCCTGCAAGACTGAAGATGGAATCATGAGCTCATTTTCTCCGTCTATTTGTTCTGGTTTTGTCTGAAACGCAGGCCCAGCCTGCTGCCCGTTGTCGCCTGGTCACTCTGCGTGCAAGAATCTGCTGGTCAAGGTGCAAGTCCAACACGAAATGAGACATGTTTCGCAAATCGTTGTATAATAACAAGTCGAAATAAATATCATGTCGCACAAGAACTCATGGGAAGCTCATATGCTGTCAGCTTTACCGTGCGTGTACACAGCCGCAGAGATAAACGTAAATAGGTAGATACTTAACTATTGATTCATCTATGTCGCACAAACACTCACACACACACACACGTCGATGTGTATGTATGTAGAGGTACATGTACAATGTACAACATACATACATACATACATACACATACGTACACAGCATACCTTTCCAGTACATGTACATGCATGCATGGCCACACACATATACTACTAACAACAACTAGAAGACAATAATACTAACAATGAGACTACTAAGCCCAATAGTCATAAAACCCGTATTAACAACAATAACAACCTTTGACGGTCTGGGGTTCAGGATTCTATGTTTTTTACCCTTCAAAGCTGGAGTTGGTGAGTGTCTCAACGTACGAGTTCAATAAAGCAGAACGCAGCTGGACCTCAAATCCGCTGAGGGCAAGGATGCATGTGGGGTTGAAAAAGGATCCGGTGCAAACCGCGGAGCTGCCGCCTGGCCGGCCTGCAACAGCTGCTGGAGACCTCGGACAGGCTAGCGGCAATTTGGATCCAAGAAGCAGGATCTTGATCTTCAGGACCACCAAACAAAAAAGGGCACCTCAATTCCTCAAGAAATCCATACATACTGACATTCCGCTCGGAGGAAACAAGGACCTCACAGGCCACAGAAGCGATCGACAAAAACCCGAAGACTCGGGCGAAGTTCAACGAGTTCTGCCGAGATGCGGTGCCGGGGTCTTCTGACCAGGGCCCCAACCTTGATCGGAGGTTTAGGATTTAGGCTAGAGTGTCGTGGGTTGTCATCTTCCTTCTGGTATGAGGCTCCCCAAATACTGTTTTCTTGAACATCCGTTCTTCGGGTACGCTAGATTGCGCAGAACCTTGCTGGGGGCTACGCTGGCGACCGTCGTAGGGCCGGCCGCCCCTGGAACGCAGCGGGAGACTTTTCTCGAGGTAATCGTGGGCATCAGGCCAATGGTTCTGCCTCAAGGGTCACTAGATACTCGAGGTGCACGGGTGACATCAAGGAGCCGACCGGTCATGTTGGCTGCACTTGTAGCAATTGATCAGAGCTTTCCGCGAAAAATTAAACGATGTCAGATTGCCAACTGGTAAGGATGGGGACTGGCTACCTGTCCAGTCCTACGTCGCATCAAAATGCATCGGAAACGCCGGACAAAACTACATTTACTTGATCCTTCAAGATGGTCAACTTGTGCCGTCCACCAACTCCGCATGGCTGCTCTATCGGGTGTACAGCCGTCGACTATCGTGAAATCCAAAACCCAGAACTTGCTACTAGACATTACTAAACAGAGGCATTGAGGCTCGCATGGCCCCTTGCAAAGATGGCGTTGGCTGTGCAAGTCCCACAAACTAAACCCGAAGCACGACACCCTCGAACAGCAAAACACCAAAATCCGACCAACCGATGACCCAGGCACCTCCCAATGCAGGAAATTGCTCCACCTGCGCGCTCACCTGCCAAGGTCTCTCGCTGCGGGAACCTGTAAGAAAGTGCTTTGGCCTTTGACCTTCCAACCAAGTTCCCAGATCAAAGTCTATACAGCCTAAAGCAGCCCATCTCCCTTCAAGCCATCTGAAGCCCAAAAAGAAACAAGTCCTACTGCGCTGAACCCAAAAGAGAGGACTAAGCCCCCTCGGCCGCAGGGTCCCAAGAGCCGCATCCCAGGCCTCACGGGCCTGACCGGCCGCAATGTCGGACCAACCTGCGCCCATAAGAGGAAAAGCGACCGGGGCGGATACTGTGTGTAAGCAAATGAAGAAACAAACGAAACAAACAAGTCTGTATACACACATATATATATATATATATAAGTATATACAGATATACAAATAGGTTGCGCGCTGTGCGTTGTACGCCCCACCCCCGCCCCCCCACAATGGAATCCCCCTCCAAATACAAGGGCCTACCACTTCCTGAGCAAGACACACGGAGGGAGAACATCCTCTTCCACAAACGAGGGAACAGGAAGAACCGCTGCTGTTCCACGGGTTGGCAAGGGGAACAAACCATGGACCACAGGGAGAGGGGGTTCTCCTTCGTCAACAAGACCGCACGGACGGAGGGAGAACCAGAGAACCACCGGGAGGAGAGGAAGGAAGATGTCCTCTTCCACGGGGTGCGGGGGTAATTGACTGCGAATTCATTGTGATGCATGTATAGGTACATGACGGGCACCTAGGGCACACGTACATACATACATGCATGCATACATACATTCATTGACACATACATACACATATGCATATCTTCGTTCAGTGACACATACATACATACATAACTACAATTATTAAATAATACATACGTGATTGCAGCTGACAAATTGACACATCGACACATGGATAGATAGATCGATCAAGAGGATGGATAGGCATCTATAGATAAATAGCAAGGCTAGACATATATATCTAGAGGCTAGCACATTTAGTATAGGTACATTGTACCTGCAACAGAGCCACATACACATACGTAACAGGGAGCGCTGCTGGAAAATGATCGAAGCGACGGATGAGAGCCTCGGGCATGGCGTGCCAGAGAGCTGACTTCTGCTCCGGAGTTTGGCACCTAAGCACTTCAATGAACGGACTCATTGGCTCAAAGCAAGGCTTCTCTCATGAGGCAAGCCGGGCTGTCGGCCGGTGCCTCACCAAGTGATGGAAAGTCCTGCCAATGAGTAGAAGATGGGGGTCGCGGTCACTGCAACAGGCTCTATTGACTCTATTCGCATGGGATGGAGCCTGCTGCAAGTTCTCTTCATCCTCCCAATCGGGGACGCCCGCGTCCCGGTTGTCAAGCGCTGTTCTTCTCTGTACACACAGCGCCACCTCAAAGCTTCAAAACGGAGCGCAGGCCTGCGAACAGAAAAAGTAGGCATGAAATGAAAGCTGAGCCTGCGACATAACGCAGAACGCGTTGTTGGGCCTTGGGTTCCATAGCCAGGATGACCGCCTGCATCAGGGATCAGGGGCACATGGGCGGCGGCTCGGTGTCCGCAGCGGTTTCAAGGCCGGCAGCTTTAATCAATGCTTCTTTGAGGGTCCCGTGCAACTGCAGCCTCACAGTCAGCAACAGCAACACGCCAAACATTAAACCCCTCAAAGCATGCAACAAAACACCTCCAGTCAAGACCAATCTAATAAACCCTGACCTCTACATGACCTCATATAACATGACTCTTCTCCACCCGCTGGCCTGTGCAGCAACCTTCCACTCGCGCCAGGCCTTTGCCTCGTCCTCAAAAAAGGGCCCAAGAACACGGGTCTCGAATCATTCGTTTAGAGCTCGGGTTTGGGTGGCTTGCGTTTGGAGGGAATACAGCAAAGCGGGTGTATGGGATACAAGCGAGGCAGCTGCTGTGATTCTCGGCTTTGCGACCTCTTCGGCATTCACTCGAGCTCTGCGATTGAACATGCCGAGGTGGAACTGGAGGCAGTCAGTCTCCTGACTTCTGGATGCCATGAAACGACTCGGTCCCACTGCCATACCAGTGCCAATCGAGAGCTACATCCTCCCCAATAGTCCTGTTGCAAGCAACGGCAGCGTACTCGCGCTGGCAAGGGTGTGGGTACTTGGCCTCGGTCCGCCCATCGCAGTCAGTGTAGAGGCTGAGGTTCCGGAGCTGAGGTCCACTACTCTGCCGCCGGCTGCGATCCAGCCGCCTCCCCGGATCCAGCGGCACGGTGGAACACTCACGGAGCGGACCCAGATGACGATCAAGATGGCTTAAGCTGTGAAGCGAATGCGCTGGACGACGGCACCCCCGAGTTTCTGCAGTAGCAACAAAACGGGCGTTCCGCCAAAGTGGCGTCGGGCCAATGTGGTTGTAGTGCAGACCTTCTTGGAGACGTGACTCGTCGAAGGATCTGCGCAGGCCGAGGAGCCAACTGGTCAGGTCAGGTCCAAGGCGGCATCCTGTGTGGGAGTCTGCCGACAGCTGCAGGGATTCTCGCACCAGGCCACGAACCGGGAAATCCACCAGGCCGTCGATGAACACACACCGTGTCGATGTAGTCCGGATCGGCATGGCGGGCAAAGAGCATCCCACCATGAATATTTTGTCTTGTAGGGTCTCTGGGTCTCTGAGCCAAGTGTTCATGTCCGTGTGAACTACATCGGTGGGCTCGCGAGTAGAATCAGTAGAACCCAGCACATCCAGGGTATGATCCCGATGGCGAGTACGGATGACGCTCACACTTACTTGCCGCTCCAGCTTGGCGTCTGTCCATCGTGGCGAGGATCGCAGCTCTCCTCGGGGGCAGGAAGCATCACCTTCGGGAGCCTCGTTCTTGGATCTTCCTTGCAGCCGCCTGCAGTCGAAAGAGGCTGTGCCCTAAGAAAGCCCGGAGCTTCTTGTGCCAGGGCAGAGAGCTCCAGAGGATCTTCGCCTGCCACGGCGCCGCTTTCAAGAGCCCAAGGGCAGAACCGATGTCCCGATCCGCGAGCCAGTTCTCCGTGAAGGTCACCGAGGGCTCCAAAACAAGGACGATGTGCCACCAGCCTTTTGTGGTGAATGGATGTCTAGGGATTCACAACCTTAGGGGCCGATGGAAGGTTTGGGGTGGGTACTTTCTTCGCTTCGGCCTGCAGGGCATACGACGACCTCCCCCTCGCATTGGATGAACTCGACCATGCCAATCCCTGCAGCTGCGCCCGATCGCTGTGCATTGCAATGCAGGCTTCGCACTCGCTCATACTCCTGGCACAGGGGGTCCAAAGTGCCGGCTTCAGGATTAGAACTCAACTTCCATGCCGAGCCTGCTCGAACCATGCCTTCGCTGAAGCTGAGGGATGGTACTCCGGGTGCTCAGTGGTGCCCGAGCCCGGTAGCCAGCACGGCAGTCCCTCCCTGGAGACCAGCACGGACTCCGGCGTCGAGGGAGGAAAAATGCACCACCTCTTCTTCCCCACTATGCAAGCGTTCCAAAACATCGTCGAGTTTGGATCCTGATGACAGCCCAGCCCCGAACCCGGACTTCCACAAAGAAACCATCGGAACAACGGATTCCACGGCTTGGAGGAAGGATCGACATGGATCTGGTGCTCCTCAGCAGGGGCCTGGACCCGATTCTTTTGGCTCTCGCGGATGTAGGCGTAGGCACCTCCATCGCGGGGCAGCTTCAGCATCGGCAGTGCCGGCCCGACATCATCTAGAAGCTGATAATGCTTCGCATCGTGGCCCTCCTCGTCATCTCCCTGCTCTGGGAAGCGAATCTCAGAGATGTAGGTGTGAGGGTCTCTGCCAAGCTCAGCCAGGAAGGCGGACAGGGGGAGCTCAACTTGCACAGTGCTGTCCGACTCCTGGACCGCACGGATTGCTAGGAAGAGTTGGTCTCCGTAGAAGCGACCAAGGCTTCCGTCACTTAGCCGCCAGCGGCTTCGTGCAGGCCATGGTGCCAGGAGATCCTTACGACTTCCCGAAGGTTGGGTTCACTTCTTGTACTGTACCATACCGAAGCACATAAGCTAAAAGCCAGAAAGTTGGAATATGATTATCCTGACCCTTCTTTGGTAAATTATAGGGTATCCTACCATGAAACCATATTCCAACTTTCTGGCGTTCCCTGTATATATATATATATAACTGTGCTATGCATACTGCTTCGACGGTCTGACCAGTTCGAAGCCTGGAAAACTCTGCACAAAATCTGCCAGGGTTCTTGTTGTGGATCGCTGCAAAACAGAACGGGTTCCTTTTCCCGCGAGCAGTCGAAAGCTTTGGCTCCCGATTGCAACCTGACACGCTTGATGGGCAGCGGCCCAACTTCCTTGCCTTTCACCATTCAATTGCCAAAGATTGAGGTACCACTAACCTGAAATGTAAACCGTGACTCGCAAAAGCGATCTTGTCAACTCCGCTTCTGCTGCTCCTGAACTGCTCCGCCGGAAGTTTCGGCAAAGATGATTCCGATCATGTGGCCGGAGGCCCTGCCCTTACAAAGCTTTGACTGGAGCCGATAGCTTCGCAGCAGACAGAAACTGTCATCTCGGCTATTCAGAAGTATTCTGGCACAACGACTTGTGTGACGACGGAAAGGAGACAGCGCGAGTAAGAACAATACGAGCTCAATGAATTGGCCAGGAAGACAACAATAGAAGCAGACAGCCTGAATGCTCCTGTGCCCTCGCCCTAGGCCCCAGAATCCTTTCCAAAAATCCCCGACCGCTTCCAGCTCACGGTTGATACCTCACAAGCCCGGGTCCTGCTCTTGTTCAGCAGCTGGACCCTGCCTGGAAGTCATGCGAAGGGCACGACAAGGCAGGAAGAGTAATGATCAACAGCGAATAGTCTTCCCTACTACTGGCCATCGTGCTCTGTAATATTCGGGGAAGGGAATATTGCAAGAATCAGCTTCGTAAGCACCACTGGCAGGCTGTGGGCGGGCTACAAGATCCATTCCTACTTCCGCTGCTTTTTGCAAGGTCCTGCCCTGGCCCACGAAAACCAAGCCCATCTCACCCGCAAACCGTCCGCATACATGGGAAACATGCCGAAACCTGTGAAAACCAGCCTAAACCCCACACCCACGCCCTGAAGCTTGTCAAAACCGCCCGTCTCCTGGGCCCAATCAGACGACGATTGGAGGCGGACCTGTGGACCAGGGAAGAGAGCTTCTGTCAGCACCGACTTGAAACCGTATCAGATGATGCGATTTGCGTGACACGCCGTGAGATAGATTGCGATACAACTCGTTTCAACACCAAATCAACTTGCTTTGTATCATACCTCACACGCATAATTCTGGCCGTTTCAGCTCCCCAGCATCCTCGATGCGAGCCCAGCACCGCCCGACATCAAGCGTCATGTGAATCGTTTCCCACATCTTCATATTCTCAGCATGCTGGGACCTCGTGCCAGTGACAGGGTTCCGACACTTTCTTTCGGCATCGCGCAAAAGGCTGCCGTCCATACTTCTGCCGTTTTTCTGTTTGGCTTCAGATTCGGGGGTGTGGATCTTCGGGGTTCGGCGGGCGGAGTCAGCCGTGGTGAGCATGTCAGTCCTTTTGCGGCCACAGCGGTGAGCAAACGTCATGAGCATCAACAGGCTGTGGAGCATCCGGCCGGCGCGCTGATCATGCTGATCAGCAGCCCAAGCACGCCACGAGCATCCACACTCGGACACCCGTCGTCAGAATCAAGAGCACCAGCAGAAGCATGTCTGGGCCGTCTGGGCATCCAAGGCCAATCGAAGCCAGCGTTGTTTTCACCCCGAGGTCCAGTCACGCAGGCCGGCATCCTGAGCCTCAGGCCTCAGCAGCCTGCCACTTCCACTCAACAAAACCGGTCGCAGACATTCCCAGACAGACGAACGTTAGCCGCGTCTTTCTACTTGCTCGCGGTTGTGATAGACATTATTCACCAGATCCTGGAGATGTCTCCCTGGCTAGGGCGTTCGAAAGCCAGGGTGGCTGATGCTGGTGATGCTGGCTGTTTGGTCTGGCTTGGTCGAGACGAGGCGCAGCTGATGCTCATGATGCTTTGTGTCATGCTTGCTCCAGGCCGTGCCACATCGTGCCACGCTCCCTGTCAAGACGGCTCAGCTCGCATCATGAGCGTCTGCAAAACTTGATGTACATTCTCTGCAACTTCCACAAGCCCGAGACTGCATCAGTGCCATGTGACTGCCGCACACACGTGAGCCTCCATCCATCAAAAGCATTCACTTCGAGTGGCTTTCGACGGCCAACGGCCCAAGGCGCCAGCACATGCCAGCACGACGAGCATCTAGACTTGTGAAGCACGTCTGCGCATCCACAGCCATGCGAAGCCGGCGTTATTTTCAGTCGTGCAGGCCAGCATCATGAGCATCAGCAGTCGTCCACTTCGACTAAACAAAACCGGTCTTTGACATTACCAGAGAAATCTCTCTGGCCAGGGCATTCGAAACAACTGGCGGTTGATGGTCTGATGCGCATGTTGGCTCGCTTGGCTAGGGAATTCTAAGCTAGTTGAGACCGTGCGGTACTACGAATGATGCTGACATGACAGAAGCTACATTTCGGAAACACTACTAGGCTGATGTTCATAATGCTGGCTGCCCTGGCTTGGGAATTTGACCTGATCGAGACGGTACAATACGAATAGTCCTGACATGACAGCCACGATACTCCGAATACAATACGAGGCTGATGCTGATGATGCTGATTGGAGCTTGCTGATGCTTCTGATTGTTGGCCAAGCAGTCTTGGTCGACAGTCTAGAGATGTCTAAATGCTTGATGCCCTTGCCCCTTGCCGAGATCCCTGACATCGTGGAAACAAGCTTCGGCTGATGCTGGTGATGCCGGCTGTTTGTTTGGTCTGGCTTGGTCGAGACGAGACGCAGCAGATGCTCATGATGCTTTGTGTCATGCTTGCTCCAGGCCGAGCCACATCGTGCCACGCTCCCTGTCAAGACGGCTCAGCTCGCATCATGAGCGTCTGCAAAACTTGATGTACATTCTCTGCAACTTCCACAAGCCCGAGACTGCATCAGTGCCATGTGACTGCCGCACACACGTGAGCCTCCATCCATCAAAAGCATTCACTTCGAGTGGCTTTCGACGGCCAACGGCCCAAGGCGCCAGCACATGCCAGCACGACGAGCATCTGGACTTGTGAAGCACGTCTGCACATCCACAGCCATGCGAAGCCGGCGTTATTTTCAGTCGTGCAGGCCAGCATCATGAGCATCAGCAGTCGTCAACTTCGACTAAACAAAACCGGTCTTAGGCATTACCAGAGAAATCTCTCTGGCCAGGGCATTCGAAACAACTGGCGGTTGATGGTCTGATGCGCATGTTGGCTCGCTTGGCTAGGGAATTCTAAGCTAGTTGAGACCGTGCGGTACTACGAATGATGCTGACATGACAGAAGCTGCATTTCGGAAACACTACTAGGCTGATGCTCACAATGCTGGCTGCCCTGGCTTGGGAATTTGACCTGATCGAGACAATACAATACGAATAGTCCTGACATGACAGCCACGATACTCCGAACACAATACCAGGATGATGCTGATGATGCTGATTGGAGCTTGCTGATGCTTCTGATTGTTGGCCACGCACTCTTGGTCGACGGTCTACAGATGTCTAAATGCTCGATGACCTTGCCCCTTGCCGAGGTCCCTGGCATCGTGGAAGCAAGTTTCGGCTGATGCTGGTGATGCTGGCTGTTTGGTCTGGCTTGGTCGAGACGAAACGCAGCTGATGCTCATGATGCTTCGTGTCATGCTTGCTCCAAACTGCAGTAGTCAGAAGTGCATCAACGAAGCATCAGGAGCATCAGCTGTGTCTCACGTCGACCAGGCCAAACGAAACGGCCAGCATCACCGGCATCAGCCGAAACTTGTTTCCACGATGTCAGGGACTGCGGCAGCAACGTCATAGGCATAGGCTCCAGCATCAGGACCATCATTCGTACTGCACAGTTTCAACTATAGCTCAAATTCCCACACCACGTGAGCCCAGCATCATCAGCATTGGCCTCCGGTTTTTTCGACTGCACCGGCCAGAGCTGCTCGTCCAACCCAGGCATCGGCAAGGCTGCTTGGTCTTGGGAGACTTGCTGTGGCTGCATTGTGCCTACCAGCACCCTGGCGCCCATGATCATGCCAGGTCAAGCATTGTGATAAAGGTTCTCGCATGATCATGTTCCTTCACGGACCACAGCTCACCTCACATCAAGCTGTTTCCAGTGAACCTGCAGCGGACGGCATCAAGGCATCGGTGACAAATCTGCCCCTCAGCTTGACTTGGACTGCCCTTGGCCGGCATCGCCATCATGAGACGTCATGTCATGTGCATCAGCAATTTGGCCATGCAGCCCAGCATCATGAGCATCAGCCGCTGCCTGCTTCGACTACATGCTTTCGATGCTCCAGGCTTGAATGTGGTAACCAACATGACTGGTGTTGGTCCTATTCTGCCACCGCGGCTCAAGCAAGAGCTCATGAGCATCAGCTGCATCTCGTCTCGCCAACATGTTGCTGCCAACGAGTTTTGACGATGCCAGCGACGCTGGCACGCAGCATCACAGCTATGCACCAGACGAGCCCATTAGAACTCAAAGTTGTCACCCGGAATTGCAATCAATCACAAATGCCGGCCACACTGCGAATGCATCATGGTAGGATGCTGCTACTCAGCTCGGGCTTCGGCGAGTTGTTCGCCTGTCATCTGGGTGCTCACTGCGAGAAAGTTCAAACCGACTTCTAATTTCTCACACTTCGAAGCTACTTCCCGACGGCGACGGCGCCTTGGTCTGGTTGGTCTTGTCACGCAGGAGTCTGAACAGCAGGGGTCGCAAACCTGCAACACTTCAAAACCATCGCAAGTTATGTTCCACTAATAAATAGGAGACGGGTCCCTGGCTCAATAACCGCTCCAGGGGAGCCCAGTCGATGCTGTGCTCTTCTGCGCCGGGATCGCCAGGGCAGTCATGCAGGTGAATGCGCATGCTCTCCAGGTTTTCCACCTAGCAGAGACTCTGACTCAGTTGCACCTCTAGTGCTTTGAGAGGGGGAACGGCCTCTGCGGCATTGAGCCTCTGCACGACTGGTAAGAGGACCGTGTCGCGGTCTGCAAGGTTGGCGAATTGGGTTCCGAGGAACATTTCTTCGAAAGCGGCGTATGAGATGGCAGGGGAGCCGGGGTGACTTCTCGGCCGCATCCGGCAGCCTTCTTGGTCGTCCTCCTCCAGAATTGCGCACAAAGCTCCCCACAAGGCGCTGAGGCAGCTTGGAGCCTCGAGCAACCAGGATTGAGGTTCGGGTGTTGCTCTGCGGCATCTGAACTGGAAGTACACTACAACTTTAGTTTCAGGTTGCATCATCGCACGAGGATCTGACCCCGCTGCGCGGTCCATCGCTGGCAACCGCACCTGAATGAGGCTTCACGAAACACGGACGGTGATTGAGAAAGTCGACCTGCGGATACCTGCGGCATTTCTAAGCTCTGGACACTCGATGCCCAGAGCTTCCATAGCGGGAAGTAGCGCCTGCTCAACCTTTTCTGGCTCCTTGCCACAAGCATGTGCATCACGCGGACCCCGGCACGTCCCGTGAACTAGCAAGTTGGGCCTTCTTCTTGGCTCTTCTCGCGGATGCCTCCTCTGGAGCAGTGCCTTCGAAGGTCACCGAAAGGTCTCTCGGGAAAGACTCCATGAACGCGCAAACATGCCGGGCTGTACCTGCTTGCACAGGCACTTCCACCTTGCAGTTAGCGACTGGGATCAAAGTGGGACTGGACATCATACCAGTACAACACGGGCATGTGTTGTTCATGCAACAAGAATGCAACAAACACTTGGACCGGAAGTACGCGCCTGCTCGGAGTCGGGATCGCCGGTACCATCGTGTTCCACACCTCCGCCTCCTTCGGGATCCTTCGCTCGCCAGCCTGCGAGAACAAAACCGTCAACAGATTGTCAGGGGGGACGAGGAGCAGCCACCTCCGGCTTCGCTGCCCTTGATGGCAAGAGGAATGATGTCACGTCGGGGGTAGCGCTTGAAGTTGCCGTCGCGCCTTTGGGACAAGACGGGTCCAGCGGAGCGCAGTGGTCGCTCCAGGCTGCTCTGAGGCAAACTCCGCACAGCACTACATCCTTCTGTCTACGAAATCGAGCCCCTGACCTGGCGTGGTCCTGTCAAGTACCAAAAGGATGTGAGGCACATCGTCGCAGCTGTGCTCTGCTCTGCTACATCCTGTCAGTGCAATTGGGATCGTTACTTCTTCAATCAATTGGCAGAGCCTCTGCGTCACCGTTTCCGGCCTGGGTAATCCGCTGACCAGGGGCTGGAATTTGCTAAAGGCCCGAAAACGAAAATCCAAACCAAGTGCTGAGACTTCCGCGTAGTCTTCCGGTGTGGCTGACTCCCTGGCGGGCACTAAAACCCAACCACGGGGGGCCTGAATAGGGCCTTCTTGGGGTTTGGTTCAAGGGTCTCGTTACTTCGGGGTATCGACGGATATGATGGTGTATATATTTGGGTGGTTGTCAAAATTATGGTACCTTTTCGGGTACCCTAAGTCTTAATTAGGTGCCGTATTATAATAAGGACCCAAAAGGGGCCCTGATTTTGACAACTACCCATTTAAACATGAGGACTCTAGTTGTTCCCAGCTCAAAGATCTCCAGAGCAAGGCCACCAGCTTCTCTACACCGCAAATAAACCTTTAAACCCCAAAACCCTAAACCCCCTAAACCCTAAACCCCCTAAACCCCAACCCCCACAACCCTAATCCCCCTAAACCCTAAATCTTCCAAAACTCTGAACCCCTAAACCCCAGACCCCTAAACCCCAAAAATCCGGGGAGTCCGAGGCCAGCACGGCCATCGGAAGTGAACCGGATCCACCTCCTCCCCGTTCGACCCCCGGCCTGGCCCAGGGAGCTGCCGAGTCGTCGAGAGATCGGGAGTTCAGGATAATATGCTGGTAGATAGTTCATAGTATACACTATGTAGTTACGGTAGTATATCAGTATATCGTACATAATATTCAAGATGTGTAAGATGCAGAGATTCTGACTCTGGGGTCTGAAGTGCAATGTGCATGCAACATTCTATCCATTTGTGCATGTGTGTGTGCGTGTGTCTCTGACTTGCCAAACGAACTGTTTCTGCAGGACGGAGATGACAGCATGCTTGAGTAATTACAGCCAACTTCACGAGGGTTGAACCTATTGCAACTTGTCGCCTTGCCCGGAATATGAGAAAGTTCTAACGGGTCTCCCTGAGTCTTGTAGTTAGGCTATGTCAGGCTCGTGTCAGCTGACACCCGAACAGTGGAATCTGGTGCATCTACCAGTACAGTCAGAACAATGAACCTGCAAGCCGTGCAGCTCTTGCTCTCAGGATCATGTTGTTGTTATGTCGCGACCCAGTCGAGAAGAGAGAACTGCTAACTGTGATCACGAGGATCCTGACCTCCGCGCAAACCTCCAAAACGACTTCGGGAGCAGTGGAGCACCTGAGCCTTTTCCTCGACGACGGTTAGAGTCCTCAAGCCCAACTCTGCATTCTGATGCTTTCAGGGCTTCTGGGACGTCCAGGTAGTGTCGTCTACTGCATGAGCTTCGGGCTCGGTCCTCGAACCAGTTCATCTCCAGCTTGTTCTTGCCCTGAAGCCACTGAACACTGGAGGGACAACGCTCAGGCGGGACACAGCCAGCTGCTCGCAGCCTTTTCCTGCACGAAGGTCTGTTTATGGACTCTGACGTAGTGATCCTCGAGGCCCTGCGAGAGACTCTTGATAGGTTGGTCAGCACATGCGAAGACGCACGATGAAATGCCAATGCTCCTTCTCATCTGCAAAAGCGATCTGTCTGTAACCGCCAGTCGCGCAGTCCTAGCACCAATGGAAGCCGTGAAGCGAGTCAGCCATCCCTTCACATAGACTGCTTCCCATTTGCCAACGTTCGATCTCAACTCCAACTCATGGCTTGCGGTCCGGGTGAGCGCACACGTAGTGGCATTCCTGATAGTGGCGCGACAGGCCTCAGAAGGCAGAGGACGAGCCGTTATCCAGCATTCACACGAAGGCCGAGGGCCCCACACTTGGGGTTCAAGTAATACTCGTTCTTCCAACCCATGGAGTCACAAAGATTGCAAACCTCGTGCCTCAACAGGTAGCAGCAAGTGCCGGGCTTGTCAGCCCAAATCTGCACCATGCATTCCGACGAATGCTTTTGTAAGGCAGTCGCTTCATCTGCATATGTGCCAGAAGACTCTCGTCGTTGAAGAACCTGCGCAGGAACTGTAGGGCTTGGGATGCCGCGGACTAGTGCTATCAGGGCGTGCCGGTATGCCCTTTGAGGCAGAGGCAAAACCCGACACCACAGTTCCCGTGCCAGTGCCTCTGCCCGCAAAATTCGCACTTGGGATGAGGAGGAACCTGGACCAAGGACTCAAGAAACGGACGTCCAGGTTTGAATTCTCGTACACCTCTGCGACCAAGGTGCACTTGCTGCTGAGCTGGTCGGATGCTCCGTCGACCTGGTGAGCGAAGTCGGGGGAGCGTAAGTGAGGAAATCGAATGAAGACGAAGGCTGGCAAGAAGGGTTCTCGTGACCCACGGCTCTGCACAAGCCCTGTTCTACTCCGGCTGTCGCATGCACAGCTTGCACCTGACCCTATACTGAACTGAGGCAGTTGAAACACAAGCCATGTAAAGCATCACCAACGTCAAATCTGAAACCGCGGCTGACAACGTGCCCCTCTCTGCTGCAAGGCCCTATCTGCAGAGTCCATCACGTGCAACTGTCGAACAGGCTGTGTTGGGGGCAACATAATATACTTACTGGATTGTACTGGTACAAGTTTAGAAGTTCTGCATGTTCCATCGTTCTCGTGTCCGGTCTATTCCGGTCTGAAGCGAGGAGGGAATTCGACCCGTTTGCAGCTGAGACGCATGAATGCGGCATCTCCTTCTCGAAAATGGCGCTCCATGTCGTTGGACGCATAGGCCTCGAGGACGGGAATATGCGGCGCTCCCGCGCGTGCAATGGGCGCGAACTTAAGATCCAGGCCCGCTGTTCACAAACGAATGCCGGCCTCCAGAGACAGCACAAATCTTACCTACAGATCCTTTTTTGAGCGAACAGAATCCGTGACTGGCAGGCGAAAGGTAGAACATGACGGCATAATGTAGAATGTAGAGTTGCACCCGCACCGCTCCGCGTTCAAACCGGCCTGTGATGCAGGCAGACATTGCAAAGCTGTCGCCAGTGCGAATGCCAAAGGTGCTCCTGCAACACTTGCAGAAGATGGCTTCATACAGTCATACGCAGCCAGCACAAAGTGCTCTCATCAATTCGGGTAACGAGACCATGGAATCGAAACGGGACTGACAAGTCGAAAATGCAAATCACAGCGGATGTTTGGATGGCAGAGCCCCATGAACCCTCGAACCCTACAGAACACCACAAGCCCGAAGCTCACAAAGTGTAGGCATTCAAGATTCAAAACCCTGCAGCAATCTCTCCTCTAACTTTTTCAGAGTGTTGAAGGCAACGTCTCGCTTCTCGCAGCCTCAGCGTGTCGGCCAATGACTCCAACTTGGCAAGTCTGGTTTGCAACCACTCGAAGACCCTAAACCCGAAACTCAAACCAGCTCAAACCCTAAACCCTAATAACCCAAACCACCGTAAACCCCACGCCTTAAGCGCCACGCCTTGCCCCTCGAACCCCGTAAACCATAAACCCGAAAAAACCTTAAACCCTTGCGGCAAGAACTTGCGGTTGCAGCTGGAGCATGCTTCTTGATGAGCTTCTTAGAGCTTCCCTCGACTCTTTGGGCCGAATATTGAGGGCCTTAATACTTAAATTAGGCTCTGGGAGTGTAGCATCCGTAACTGGTCAAGCAATGATACACAAACTAGGGTTTGGGGGTGTAGTATCCTATGACTAATGATACGTGATAGTGACTACACCTTAGAGTCCCGTTTTCGAATGATTGTTCAATGCTCTTTAAAGGAGACACTACACTATGGTTGGAATACTTGACCTTGGATTATGATCATAAGTACCTTTTTTCATACTAGGGACAAGAAGGGCTGACGAGGATGCGACTTGGAGGATCATGGGACTTAGTACGTAAGGTTGTGAATACCCTAAAAGGGGTTACAAGTAGCCATATAAGTATAGCCAGTATAGCTACCTTCATTACAACCCTAGTTACTAAGTCCCTTTATCCTCTAAGTACCCTCAACCCAAGTCATAGATCCTTATAGCAACCCTTATAGAACCCTCCAGGTAACCCCTTAATTAAGTCTCCGGGCCCTCCATCTGGCATCGATAGCCCAGCAGCTGCCCCGCAGCTCGACCTCGCTGAGTTATAAAGGTTTAAGGTCTTTGAGCTGACAGTAGTTTTCCATCTGGGCTTAGCATTTGGGGAGTTTAGGCTTTGGGTTGTGGGGTTTTTGGTTTATGTTTAGGGTCACGGCTTTTCAGGTTAAGGGCTGCTTTCGAAAAGGTTCCGTTTGCGCCAACCAGTCTTCCTTGTCCCTTCCATGGCCACATCAACTCCATGCCCAATCGAAAACCGCACGGAAGTGTGAAGCGCAAGCTTCGGGCGGATCGTGTCGTCACCGAAGTACGTCCAGGGAACCTCATAGTTGAGTCCCAGGACATCCTGACGGAACCAATGCACAGATGTGCACACAAGCACCGTTGCATGCTGGTAAGATCCTGAACTGTCACCTCGGTCTCAGAAGCCTTTCTCTCCCCGGCTCAGTCTACGAGAACACTCAACCCTAAAGCAGTAAAGCTGCTGCGCATAATTCACACTGCCGTCTTCGAGTGTCCTTCGGATCGAAGGATGCATCGCGCCTGTTGGTGAGCAACACCTGCAAGCGTACTACAAGAAGTCTGGATTATATTAGGGAGCTCCGACGTGGGCCCCACATCATTGCATCCCCTTTCACGCGCCAGCGCCCTGTCCCAGCTGCCGGGAGGCTACAGACTTTGCAGCGCCTCAACCAACTCCTCGTTGCAGAGTGGGCATCGGGTCTCCTGCAATGACCGTCAAACCAAACCATGACAACACAAAGCAACGCGCTGAAATAGCAAGGTGTGCAATCAAAGAGCCCTTGTCGAACTAAAACAGGAAGCACGAAAATGGTTTCATCCGGAACATGTGAGACGCCTTGGGCGTTTGCAACGGATGCGCAAGGACGAGAAAATCCAGGAACAGAGCCGGACAGGTGGTGATGCGCATGAGGCTTAGGGCAATGTCCTTGGACTTCCTGTGAGCTTGGGACTGCTGCAGGATGCAGCTTCGGTAAGCTAGCATCTACCCTCTTGTGGCAGCATGTCAAGCTAAACCACCAGGGACAAGGGCCCCTGCAACTATACAGCGTGAGACTGTGGCTGAGCGAAAACTAAACTGACGTTATTGAAGTTGTAAATCAGGCAGTCGCCCCTGCATGATCTTGAGATCTGAGCCGGCTTGTGGACAAAGTCTCACTGCAGGGTGCAGCATGCCCGCTGCTGTGGCTTGGCCGGAAGCCTCGCTGCCAGGTTTGCAGCGTGTATTGCCTCCTCACTCCAGTCCACTTCTAACCTCCCCGAAAGATGGCCTGTTGCGAACGAACAATTCCTGTTCACAATAGGCTTGTCGAAATCCAAGTGAAAGCGCTGCCCAGACAGAGTGTGGGAAGAGTCGTATCCAGGAAAGCGCAAACCTACGGAACCTAATCTGATGTTCTTGTTGTACAGGACAAGAATCACAGAACAGCTGTTCAACTCGTCCTGACACGTTGCTGCGGGCCGCAGGACAGGCAGCTCATCCGCCCTCCATATTGGCTCACGCATGTGCCTCACTGCACTCTCATATCTTGCGGTGTTCAGCTCCAGCGGTGTTACGATGAAGAGCACGCGGAACTTTGCTCCTTGTCCAGAGGGCACTCCTCGTGCCTTTAGGTGGGTAACCCGCACAACCGGAAATTTCTCGGGCGAGAGCTGAGCGCTCAGCTGCTTCTGGAAAAGCTGCCCAAGAGAGGCAGGCGCTTCCACTTTAAAACGTGCGAAGACCGGCTTGTGATCGCTGGTGGTCACCTCCGCTGGTGATGCCAACTCCTGCTGGGTAACACAGCCTTCGAGGGAATCCAAGGATTTCCAGAGAATGCGATCACAGTAAGAGGGAGTTCTCTCCTCTTGGTGCTTCGTGCCGCTGGCTCTTTCAACCTTGAAGGTCGGAGGGAAGCTTGGGTTGCCCTCCCGGAATCCCACGAAGGCCTTCCCTGCTTGCCGGTAGAGCCTTAGCTGGTCATGCCGCATCAGCTCATCAAAGAGCTGCCCTTCGACCATGTCCAGGATGGCGCTGAAGTGATCGGGCCTGAAGCTCACAGTAACATGAATCAAAAACGAACAAGCTGAGCTTCGGAGGACGCCAGTGCAACCTGACGTAGAAAGCTGTCATAACACCGAAAACCGTCCGAGAATTCATGTATATTCATGTCACGACCACTGCCTCGAAGAATGCCCGAGACAAAGCTACACAGCAGAATCGAGATGCGCAACACTCAGACTCCCGAAGGCTTACCAGCACCAGCTCACCCCGGGTTACCAGTATCATTCTGGCATCAAGACGAGGCGCCTGGAGGGGTTTGAAGGAGCCGACAAGGTGGAAGGCCCTGTCTGGATCTCCTTTCCCGAGGTGGGCTTTGCCTTGCCCAAAGCCACCGTTGGGAGTTCTCTGGGCTCAGACATGGCCAGGTCAAGCCTATAGTTCAGATCCCCAAACCAAAAGCAGTGGTCGAACTCGCAGGAGAGATCCAAGTCGGGATGACACACCGGCCATGTCTCCTGCAGTATCTCCCGGCAGTCGCTGTTCCGCTTTTCTCCTGCGTTGAGGTGGGCAGCTAGGTGGCAGCTTACGAAGCATAGCCGGGTCGGCCCAAATTGCAACGTCACCACAAGACCGCCCTTGTTCCCGACAGTGCCGGCCATCAACCCTGTTGCAGAGTATGTTTGCTGCACAGAGTGCACCAGGGGGCCACCACACCACTCGAAGGTGCCATCGCAGTACTCCGTCCGCGCAAAGACGAGGAGGCGCATACTCATGAGGACCACCTGCTGAACCCTTGTAAATCCATCACCAAGCCTTTCTGCCAGGATGTCATCCCAATGGAAAGTGAAGGCTTCCTCCCGGACATCCCGGACTCGTCGCTCAGGGCTCTTGTCGCTGGAGCGGGGACTGCTACCCAAAGTGTGCCAGGCCTCTTCCACAGCCCCGGAGAGCATGGGAAGCTGAACCTTGCCACTGCCTTTCAATGACTTCCGGCGTTTCGGGTTGCGAGACGGGCTGCTGCCCGGATCGTAGCTGCACTCCTGAACTCCAACAGCCACAAGATCGTAGTCTCCTCCCTTCTTTGGCAGCCAGTGCTCTAGTTCTTCCTCGGCCGGCTTGGCATCACCCATATTCCACGTGAAGCACAAGATCTTCATGGATTGCCAGGGTTGGGGGCCGGGTGCATCTTCCTTCGGTACCAGGACATTTACATCCTCTGGCACCACATCCCCATCTGTAGGAACAGATGCCACCGTCGCCATGAGATGTCGTGCGGCTTTAAGTTGGCCAGAGACTCGGGGCTAAGACAAGACCCTTTTGTGTCTGGGATATCAGTCCGGGCAACATGATCATTCGAGCTGGATCCGAATCCGGGAGCCTGGGTATTTTACCGACGCTTCCAGGGTGTTCGATAAGGTTTCCGTGCTCTGAGGGCCCCTGAGTCGAGTCTCACCTGCCCTATTCTTCTGGGCATATTCCTCCTCAGCCAGCTTCGGACGGCACTCACATTCACACATCCTGCGTCGGCCCACCCGTCAATTGAAACCCGACTGACAACCCTATACAAAACTACTCTTATCGCAACCCTACTGGTACCCTCCCAAGACTGAGTCTCGTGTCATCTCTTACCCTAACCCTTATAGCTTTGGAGGCCCCAGCCTGGTTCAGAACACGCAGCCGAAGGGTGCAAATCCAACAGACTGGATGCCTGAAGCAGATCCGAAAAGGATTCCGGGTTTAGGGCTCAGGGCCTTAATACAAGAGTAGTAGTCGTCTTCGTCTTGGGTAGTGGTAGTGGTAGTGATGCTGCTAGGGGTAGTGGCAGTAGCAGCAGCAGCAGCAGCAGCAGTAGCAGTAGCAGGAGTCAGAGTCGGAGGAGGAACCATAATAATACTCTATCCTGCTGTAATCTCGAGCAAAAGACACTGAAACAGCGTGCCTTGCAAGGGCTAGAATGGGGCTTTGGAGTCTTGATGATATGATGGTATCAACATCGTTAAGGCAGGGACTGTGAGAGGACTTGATTGCCAAATTTAGAGACCTCTCCGGTAGGATGGCCTGCACAGACCAATGCCGACGTAGGACGGCTCTTCCTTCGTGCAGCAAGGCTTGACGAACTAGAAGCTTCTTCCAAAACCTCCTCCCATCTGCAGCTAGCGTTCCTAGCATCTCCAACTTCTCTCAAAAACAGTATGCCGCAATACGATGCAGAGGCAGGACTTCCCAAGCGGGGATGCTAGGATTGGAGGAGAAACAGGCAGGGGACTTCAGGAGTCGCTGGCCTCGCAGCAAAGGACGCACCGATCCATGGCACCTGCTCGTGAAATCGAGGTGAAGCCGAGAAGCTGTGAGAAAACTTTGAAGGCCTGGTGCGTCACCCAGCTCAGGGAGTCTAGCCTGCCCGGATATCTTAGAGATGAGTGGGGCTGTCAGATGAAATAACTTTGTTCCAGTGTTACATACTGAATTACATACTGAAGGACACAGCGGGGCAATGCGGTGCGGGTACGAACGCGCCAGGGCTCTGGCCCGCGGCGGTTCTCCGAGCATGCGAGGCCGTCGACGATTTCCTCGGCGGCACTTCTTCCGTTGCCCTTGGCACGTGCCCAGGATGGCTTCCTTCTGTTCCCGCCTTGATTCGACCTCTGGTTCTGTCCTGCAAGCAGGCAGAGGCTTGAGCTGACAAACGACACCTCCACAGCTCGTGCAGCGCAGCCCCTTCCACGCCTGAACTCCGCACCGTTTTTGTGCTCTTCTGCACACTCTGCCTGACTTGCTTGAAGAAACTGCGTCCTCGCTGGCCCCCATTGTTGCTCTCCCCCTGGCCACCTCGCAGCAGGGATCCAGTCGTCCCGACCGAGACATGGGCACACTTCATACAAAGACTTCTCCCCTTTACAGATACAATAATAATAGTAATAATAATAAGTATTCTTATTCTTCTTATTATTGCTGGCCTTTCCCACGGTTGCGGCCACCCTGAGCCGGGAGGAGAGCGACTCAGAGCTCGTTTCATGGCAATGTGTTGCGAAGTACTGGCCTTCTGCCGGGCATTTCGCCCGTCGCCCTTTCCTCTGCTGGCGCCTGGCCATAAGCAGCCCAAAAAACGGGCGCTCCTAGATGCCGGAAGGGCTTTGCGCCTTGATCCTGGTCTTCCGGCAGCGGCTGCGAAGCGCCTGTTGGTCATTGGGACACACAACCGCAAGTGCCCTGAAACACAAGTTACCTCAACTACGACCAACAAAGCGTACCTGGAAAAGCAACCTGCCTCCGCCCCATTCGGGTCTGTTGAAACTTGATGTTGTTTCGGATTGCTGTTGGGCGAAATTGCACATCCTTTACCATGACTATTTTGATCGAAATTACTGTGCCGATGAGTGGACCATTCAGCCCTCGCAACTGCATATGCGCATCTACAAGATGCTTTAAAAATACATGTTATTATGAGCTCAAGGCCCGCCCGCATGAGGCCCTGCACATTCATGCACGAATAGCTAGTTTGCAAGGCTATTTCGGGAGGGGCTTCAGAACGGATCAAGTCAAGAGCCGGGACGGGTTAGCTAACTTCTCCGCTGTTACTGCATCTAAACTGAAAGCAAATCCGTCTGCTTGCTGTTTGGCACGATCTCGTCGTGACACCCCAACCAGTCAGTTGTTTGGGCACTCTGCCACTTGAGGGTTGGACCTCAGGATTACCCCGAACAAGCTACGGGTCACACACAAATCCGACATGATTGCAATAGCTTCGTGAATAGCTTCTGATTTGGCAGCACTTTCTTAGGACGCTGCTTAATGCGTTCACTCGAGTTGAATCGAATGATCGACCGAAGAGAGTGGGGGAATGCAAGCTGCAACCTGCTCCTTTAAGCAGGACATAAGAACATCACTGCTACTCGTGTAGCCTGTGATTGCTATCATGGTTGGTAGAAGTCGTAGTATGAAGGAAGATCCACTTGTTCCCAAGTTCCGCATGAAATGCACATCTCCATTCGCCAAGCTCCTGCAGCCGGTCTTCACATGGATCGAGAGATAAGAACAAAGCGCTGGGTCAACTGTCAACCACACAGGGCTGACCGCGGCGATCCAATTTTCAGCAGGAGGTCATGATCCAGGCAAGCTCAAGTTAAGGACGACCGTTTTGTTGGCCACACACACACACACACACTAGTCTGGCCTGGCCTGGGGCATCAGGTTCGCCCGCCAGCTCACCTGTCGCATGGCAGCATGTCGTTCTTTCTTGAAGCTGTGCTTGCAGTTCCTGCTCCCACCATTTCTAGCTGCGCGAAATCTCCGATGAGAGCTCTCAGATGCAACGAGCCATCGCAATGCGCTTCCTGAATTCCCCAGAAGGGTGTGATCAGAACTGCCATGGGTTGCAGATCTGCTACACATGCATCTCACCGATGCAGCAGCCTCCCTCGTCCATTGGGCTTTCGAAAGAAGCGAAAATTGAAAAAAAATCTGCTAGAGAGTGTGGAGGTGCTAATGGACCTGTGCCGCATGGCGACGAGCTAGGTGGTAATTGGGTAGTTTGCGGAATCGCTTTGCTACCTGTAGCCCGTCTCATGCTGTTCTCCTTTGCATTCAGTGGATACAAACCCGAACTCGGATGAGTTGGATAGACTCAATACTGCGTTCTCAAAGCTTGATCACGCAGCGCCCATGCAGCTTCGAGACAACACATGGAATCTCGATTATATGCCCGAACTCTCCAAGCTGAGCCAAAGCCTTCATCCAAATAAACGGCCTTAAAACTGAGCAGTCGAGAAGAGCCTATAGCCTTCAACCCTAAACCCTGTTATAAGCACGAAACTCAACACTACCCACTTTTCGTTGCGTCATCAGCGTCTCGCGCAAGGGGCCCACTTGACCCAGCCCTGGCTGCGGCGCGGCGGCCGGCCGCGGCTTGCATGGCATTTTGCTCGCAGGCCTGGGAAGTAGCCGGAGTCACTGAAACTTGAACTATCAGGGTTGGTACAAAGCTACGCGACGGGTATTACTAGGCTTGTTATGAATCACACTATCATGAGGACTACTACAAGGGTTACCAGAAGGGTATGTTTGTACTACGAACCGAAGCGGAATCCCCCGGGCAGACGAAGTCCCGACACCCGCCAGCGGAGTCATTGCTACGCCGCTTGAAAGATATACTAATCACGCGTTCATTGCGGAGGAGGCCCCAAGGTTCGGTTGCGTCAGGGTGGGGGCATGGCTCGACGTCGTTGCTCAAGCTAGCGGGTCGAAGTATCGGCCCGGCACAGCATTTACATTATCTGGCTAGCCAGTTACTGGGTATCTCCACCCGACTGTCCATGGTGAGTGCGAGCAAATGCTCTCTCTCAAGCATTGCTGATGTTGCAACGACCGGGATACAGCCGAGGTCACCCCACTGTGTACGACTGTTGGCATCTCGCAAGCAGGGCTCTACATCAAAGGCCGGCGCAAGCTCCACAGCCAGCGCAGCCTGCGGGAAAGTACTTGGGCACCCTAAATCGTATACCTGAGCCACTGAACCCTGAAAAACCTCTATTCCTGGCTCTCTGAAGCAACAAGGCAAGGCGGGTTGCTGGGCAAGGGAAAAGAAGGTTTGGGCGAGCGTGTTGGGTAATGTGAAGTTGAAGAAGCTGCTTGCACGGCTCGGACCAAAGCCTCAGCCCTCTCCAGACGCTATTCTGCGCTGTATCTATATGCATACATATGCATATGTATATATATATATATATATATATATATAACATGCATAGAGCGACTTCTTGGAGCCCTGCCTTTGCTGCCTGCAGGCGGTGAACTTTGGCCTGCTGCACGCGAATCACCTTCCGCCACACAGAACCATCGAGCTATATTGACATAGAAGTTAGAGCAATGTATAGGCTCAATGCATGCATACTGTAAATACGCCATTCGTGCATGTCTATCTATTGAGGCAGCATTCTCACATCCACTACGAATATTTTCCCCCCTACCTGCAGAGGAAAACACAACTGGTCCAAGGATGGGACTTTCTCTTGCTCCGCAAAAAGCTCTCGACCTCCGAGTTGAGCAAAGGTTTGGGAGAAGGGCTTATGGCACTAGGGCTCCGAACTACGCAATGCGCAGGGACTGGAGTTTCGTATGCGAGCAAAGGGATCAGAGTTTACGGTCTACGGGTCCGAGGGTTGAGGCTTCGCAACCGGCGGCTGGGATGCTTAAGGACGATTTTTGCAACGACAGCAACATTGCCATTTCTTGTACGGTCAACGTGTTGGTTGCATAAGAGTCGTCACCATGACTTGCTTGATCAAGCTACAACCTTTGCTAGTCAACAACCATCATCATCATCATCGTCATCACCATCATTCTCGTCGTCATAGTCATCGACACCATGCGAAACAACTTAATTCTTCTGCATCATCATCATCATCATCATCACCCTCATCAGCAGCATGGTCATCATCACTGGCAGCTGTTTTCTCGCTGCTATGATGACGACTCCGACTGTGGGTGTAGAGCCATGACCACCGTGAAGCGCGCCTTGTTACTGCGAGTCGCACCAATGATGTGTTCACGTTGTCAAAACCCGAAGTGATCGCAGTCTGCTCTGCGTAATAGCTTTGGTATTTTGTGCCCTTCGCAGTAGCATAATGTGTACTTAAATCGTCTGGCCGAGCACCTTTTCCGGATTCTGTAGCAGACACGAATGTTTCACCTGTCAAGGGCTGCAATGTGAAACAGATGTGTTTTGAAACAATTGAAGCAGATGCAATGTGAAACGGATCATGCGATGTGAAACAGATGCAGGTGGGAAATTTTGTGCTGCACAAGTGAGATTGCCACATAAGGACAATGCTATGTCACAGCTGTAGAAGCAGTAGAATACTCCGGGAATAGTCTCCGGCGGTCTGCAGCCATACATTTCCGACCAACATTGGCTGAGTCTCATCGCCAACTCCCTGCCGTACGTTCTGGCAGTGTGGGGAGGATCTGAAGAGCTCTGCACGGGTCAGCCTGCCCCGGAATTCTCAGATGGTTTGATGATGCCAGCCACCAGTTGTTGTTGTCCAACCGGCAACACTGTCGGCAAGAAAAATCTGCACAGCACCGATTCGCCTCAGGCACCACATGCACCTTCTGACACGCTAGCTCGCCCATCACCCAGCGCCTCCAGATGCGCTCACTCGCCACGATCTCCAAAGTTAGGAAAGGCTCGAAGGCCGAATCCAACGGGGGGAGCGCACAGAGCTGTCCGGGCCGGTCACCCACGTTCTCCTCCACGTCGACAGCCGCCGCAAGATTGACTCTCTTCGTATCCCGGCAAGGTCGCATGCTTTTGGGCATGCTACGGCTTCTGTTGGTGTTGCGGGATTTTTTAGCATAGCTGAGGAAAGTCTTGTGCGTGCCAAGCTCGAACTCCACCTCCTCGTCTTCGCCTTGGTCAGCTGCAGCCGCCTCGCTCTGGGCGGGCTCGTTTGTGTGTGCTGGCGGGGGAGGTGGTTGAGGCGGAATTTCTGTGGGGAGCTTCTGGCGCTCCCAGCAAGAGCACAGCGATGTCTGCGCACCGCCCATGGCTCCGCACCAGCCCGATACCACAACGAAAAACCCTGTTTCGATTTGTGAAGATTACATGCTGCCACACACCTGGAAATTCAGGGCTGCCTGTAGCAAAGAAAGGCCCAAGGCATGGTGCATTGGAAACCGTCGTGCTCGTTTTGCAACCGCAGTTAACAAGAGATTCAAAGTTAGTGAGACAATTGAAGTCGAAGCTCTCGGAAGCACCAAGGAACCCAAAACAGCTGACAATGGGCGGCCTTGACCCTTTGAGCATCGCACGCTGGTACAATGATGCTCACCACAAGAACTCCCCCCCCGCTGAATACTGGTGGAGCTGAGACAAGGGCCAAGATCGAGTCTTTCGAGTAACCCCTGTGCAGGCGGGTGCTTCAAAGCGACCGAGAACTGTCATACATACATATCGGACCCAGCTGTCAATACGATTGCGGCGATCGCAAGTTGCTGTAGATGTGCGCAGCGGATGCCCTCTGCAACGACGTGCTGCCCTTTCGATACAGTCCGATACAGCTTTGGTAACTCACTGCTGCAGGTCCTACAGCTGAATCTCGTGAAACCCATCATGGCAACTCCGGGCCTCGAGATGTGCCTGCAGCTGTTGCTGCTGCTCGCCCTTGCGCTGCACCAGAGCTTCCAAAAGGCGCACCTGAATCCAGCAACAAACGTGCAGTCTCAAGAGACTGTGTCTGCCTACCTTGCTTGAAAGGTCGAATAAATCTGAAATGTAGGCCCTCACGTCGACCAGGCCAACCCGAAATTCAGATCTGCACGACATGCTGCCAGGGGCACCTGCTCTTCTTGCTTGGCAACCGCAGCCCTCAGCTGAGGACCAAGTCCTGTCAAACAGAGCCACCGCCGAATCTGATGCTATTCCTTGGAATGGCTGTCGAAAGCAAGCCGTGCGGTACCGGCACCTGGCTGTGAAGCCTCTGAGCAAGCAACTTTGTCCATCAGTCAAGCAGGCCTGCTCCTTCTTGGGGCAACCTGGAGGTGTCCTAAGCCCACTGCGGGCAATCGCAATGCCAGTAATCACAACGTCACAGCAAGCTCCCCAAAAGCTGCTATCCATGGTTGTGCTGCTCAGGTCCCAGCAGCCTTACGGGCCTTGCAGAGCGAAACAAGCTGTGTAAGCTGACGGTGCGCACAGCCGGATGTGTGAAGCGGCCTTGTTAATGAAGTCAGCCCATGCTCTTGCAGGGCCGGGGCCTTCAACCACCACTGGTGTTGTAGGATATTGATAACCTGCTGACATGTCTTGTGATAGAAATTCCATCACATTCCTCTGCCTTGCGCGAAGGTCATCTCCACGAGCATTCCAGACTGTGTTGAGGGGCGATTCCCACTCCATCTCACTCCAGCGACAGCTCCTGCGCACCTGGCTGGAGATCCTGACAACATTTCCATCTGCATCCGCCACCTTTATGGCAGCCTCAGCTGCCAGAGTAAAGTCGTTACCGTTCTTTTGTGACACCACGAGCTGAGCTGCCCACGAATGGCACACGCGTGGCCTCGCCCAGTGTCACCTGATGATGCATATGCAACTATGTTATTATGAGTGTCGACATGTCTCCGTAGACAAAAGGAGTAGCTAGCAGCTAGCTACTGTCTCAACACTGCCAGTACTACAACCGCTACTTCACCAGAATGTAGAAGCAGATTGCTTGCGCATATGTCGGTGCAAGTTATCTGCGGATATCACGACTCGTTGTCTGATCTGTTGAGCTGCAAATGAGATCTGGCAATCCCTGTCCCGAGCCATTCTTGATGCTATGGATTTATCCCAGTGTAGACTGCTACAGCTTGCCGTTGCTGTTCCTGGTGACTTCTCTCACTTGATATCAACATTGTTTCTAAAGAAAGCTACTATTCTGCGAACTCTGTCAGCCTTGAACCTCGAAAGCACCCAAACCTGAGCCTAAATCCTAATTAAACCTGAACCCTAAAGCCCTAAACCCTCAACACCAAATCCAAAAAAACGTATAGGCCCGAAATCCCCAACAAAAGCCTACACTCCAAAACCTGAAACCCTGAACCACCAAAGAAACACCGCAATGCCGAGGCAATCCTTCTCGTCGTCGTCAATGAAGACTTCGAAAAGATCGAGGCATCCTTCCAAGGATGCACAGGGTGTAGTTTCTTCGCATGTTTGGGGATTATAGGGGTCAGGGCTTAAGGTTTTAGAGTATTGGTCTTCGGTGAAGCCTTGTTGTGAGCCGTCCTTGGAAGGTTCCTACAAGGGCTTGTGAGGACGGTTTCAGGTCTCTCTGTGCAAGAAGGGGCAAGCTCGAGACATGTCTGGCGGAATGTCGGAAGGTTTGGAAGATTTCCTCCATGCCTCATTGTAAGCCCTTCTGGGGGGTTCATGGGTAGCTACAAGTGGGGTTATAATATTATAGGTCCTTTAGTTAATATAGGTTATAAGTATAGTATACCTAAACCTGGATGACACCAGAATTACTTCGAACCCCAGAGCCGGCGTCCTAAGCTGTACCGAGAGGCCCGCATGATCGGAAAAACTGAGGTTCCGTCCCAGCTTGAGGTTCAATGCCGCAAAGCGGACCTTGGCTTCAGTCACTACGGTCTTTGTTGAACTTCCCTGAGCTGTCTTCCGGAACTCCTTAGGGTAGATGTGCCATTGATCTATAGTTGATGTCGAAAGAGATGTACATGATATATCGACATATATATATATATATATGTATATATATATACACATTTAAGCGGAGAGATATTGATACATATTATACAACAATCAGTGCACTACCCCGGTCAATGTCTGCAGGAAACACCAGAGCTCAACTATGGGCCCTGCTTCATCGCGCCCATCGGGAAAAACACAGCGGATCACCTGCAGCGCGAGCATGAGCGGAACATCTCGAGTTTAAGTAGGACTGGCAGAGCAACGCAGGTATCTCCAGCTTTGATTTGAACCTAACTCTGCTAGGATCTGCCAACCGGGTATTTTGCACCTTGCCCTTTCGCCGCCCTGCAGCGACCTCGTCAGTGCTGCTCGAGTTCCGGGAAGCTTCAGCAACAGAACAGCACGCCTACTACATCCTAGATTCTCCCAGTCCGTGTTGATCCCTGGAAGGCAACACCGAGCGTTTCTACTGCCCGCCTGTTTGGCCATCAGCAAATCTCGCAGCCGTACGCAGCAGCTTCTTCTATGCTGTACTACAATTTTCGTGCTTGTGCTGTAGCTTAGCTGGATGGAGAAGAAATCGCAAAGCCTCTACAGAATGAAGTCGAGGACGCAAGGCTGTTGTTGCACCCGCGATTCTCCGTTACATCAAGGTCTATTGATACGTGGTCCTTCAAGCCCAGGCGCAACAGGCTTAGCGAGGTCCATTGGCAGGAATTGCAAAGCCGTCTTGATGTCTACCAAGCTTCTCTATGCCAAGAGTTTAGGGCTGCCCTCAGCTTCAGAGACAAAGGCTGCAGAAGCATTCAGGGCATGGGCCTCTGCTGGTCCTAGCAGCAGCAGCAGTATCCGTGAGCCAACAGAGCTCCCACGCACAAATAACAAACACGGACTGTCCCATACTGTCTACGCATGCAAGCATTCCAGTAAACGATACACCAGTTGTGCAGTGTTGATGTCTGCAGGTATGAATGCACTTACGCGTAACCATGATGCTGCAGGGATTAGCGCCCGAACCAGGCAGAGCAAGAGTCACAGACCATAGGTAGGTGTAGAGCCATGTCACAGAGGATCCACTGGGGCTGCTTCACCCACTGTCAGCCAACCCTAAATACTAAACTATACGGTGCTGAAGCTGGGAAACCACGGCCTGAATAGTTGAAACTTACCCTACAACTGTAATAGCCAGAGGCTAATGAAAATACTATACAAAGTCCTTCCCTTGTATCACACGTGCCCTGATGTGAATACGCTTGCGCCCCCGTATGGCAGCTGCTTCTATCTAACTTGTCGGATGGCGAGTGCCTGGGCTCAGCGAAGTAGCGTGCAATCCCTACAATCCTACAACATGACTGATATCTGTGCATGCAGCGGGTCTGCCTTTCCCAATAAGCAGACTCCGGAGAGCTATTCCTTCGGGGTTGAAGTTCCGGATCTGTTGCTTATAGACTTCGGGGATGAATGCAACAAAGGCGTCCACACACTGTCCAAACGAGATGTCCTATGCATGCAAAGACGCTTATTGTCGGCAAGTCTCCTGAAGAGACAGCTGTGCTTCACAACATTTGTTGTGGCACTACACTACCACTGCAGCGACAAGTCAACAATGCATAAGCAGACTTCACAAAGAAAAACATTAACAATGGATGATGCAAGCTGCCGTAAGAACTCCTGATGTTGTAAGCCCTGCCTGTTGCAGGGGAAGGACGGTCTGGTCTTCATCCCGTCACTCCGAATCGTGCTGGACCACGTCAACGACATATCTGTGAGTTTTCAACAAGCGCCAGCTGCACAAGGTGCCTAAACTGTCTAGCTCCCGTAAGATCCAGCGACAGGTCTGCAGAAGCTCACCAGTTCAGCACCTGCCCACGGCTGATGCAAGGCACTGCAATGCATGGCTTTGCCGGCACTTCTCCATGCTGCGGGCACGTAACTTCTCAGCAGCCTGATGTTCGTTTTTATGCACCGATGTAAAAAGCTGAGCTGTGCAGCAAATGGCAGCAAAACACATCTGATCCCCTGATGTCATGCGCATCAGGAGGAAATATCATGCCATATACCGCGAAGTTGACATGACATGTCTGTGCAAACTTCCGACACATGTGTACAAATTCGATGCCCATTTGTCAATTCGTATCGTATACATATGTTTACATACACAAGTAAACACATATACATATATACATATATACATCTGCTGTTTCTGCTGTTTCGGGCGTAGGGTCGAGTTGACGCGGCCCCTTGTGGGTGCAACTAATTAGGTGAAACTGAAAAGTCGATCTACCAGTTCCCGATCACGAAACAGCCTGGAGACTGTCGCACCAAAAGTCCAGGAGATCGGAGGAGGGACAAAGCCTCGGAGGGAACGGGATCAGGCAGAACAAGCCTTGTAGGGATGCCTTGGGTCCAATGGTCAACAGACGCCCGGATGATATCCCAGGCCAGCACAGCACCAGGGAGCGCGGCCGCATAGGATAGAGTATCCCCGGGTGGGTCATGCAGGGACTCAAGTGGCAAGCCTATTGTCGATAGACAGTAGCAGCACTCAGGGTCGGCGTGGGCAAGATAGTCCACCTCAGTCCCGGCCGCACGGTCAGCCAGAGCATCACGGTGCTGGTAGCGGAGCCAACGGTCCTCAGGGATAGTAGGCAGGAATCCAAGCGGAACCGGACCGACCTGTACCCAAACAGAATCAGGAGAAGCTGCGAAGGGGGTGGGCCACGTGACACCATGAAAGGCAAGGGAATCCAAGTAGAGACCACTAAGCCGATATGTGTCGGTGGCAGGAAGGCTGGAATCAACGTCAGGTACCAGCCATGAAACCAGATCATTGCAGCAGAGCCAGTTGGCGGCCTCACGGAGGATATCCCGAGTGCCTTCTGAAACGGACTGGTGCGGGTCCGAAGTGATGCGTTGCCAGCAATGGGCGGTGACACGTAACCGAGCTGCTTGTAGGCAGACGCATGAGAAGGCTGTGCGGAGGCGGGCCCAAAGCTCGCTCTCACCTGCAGTGGCAATGACCCCATCATGGTCTATGTGCAAGAGACAATCTAACACATCCGCAGAAGGCCGGGCGGATTCTTCCTCAACGACAAACTGTAGGGGGCCACTGCAGGGCCCAGAGGCCTGCAGCACTGGCATGAGGGCAATCCCATCATCGGTTGCCTTCTTGCTGCCAACTCCTGGCTCAGGAGTGTGGCGGGCGCTGGTAGACAACAACCGACTGCGGCAACTGCGGCTGTACCCGAGGTGACGGCTGAGTTTTGTCGCAGAGGTGAAGTGCTTGAGGCATGCAGGGCACTGCGTGCCGGGGGCGAGGCGCCGCATCTCATCTGTACGCCCATGTGTGGAAAAAGCGTGGACGGACCATGCCTGGTAATCCTTGAAGCGCTTTCGGCATACCGCACAGCACTCTGTGGCCTCTTGCTCATAGTCGGACTGAGCAGAAACGACGGCCCCAACTTGCTGAAGTTGACGTAGCAGCGAACCCTGATAGCGCTGGAGCTCAGCCTGCCAGCGCTCCTGTACGAGGGCATACTGTTGTGCCCGACGGATGCGTGCCTTCCACTTGCCAGGATGTTGTTTGGCCTCATCTCGCCAAGCCTCCCAAGCAGAAGTCCAGTCCGGATACCTTCTGTCTGGGTCAGTCCGCTCCCAGAGCCACTGGACTGATTCTGCAGTGCAGCGCATCCAGGTGCTCTCCCAGTGGGCAAGAGCCCACAATTCGGGGACTGATAGTACAATGCAGGAAAGCAGATAGCGAAGTCGGTGAACGTGCAGGTAGGTAACAGCAGTGGGGATTCCGGCTAAGGCGAGGGTTTGAGCTGTTCCGAGTTTCCATGCCTGCGCGCAGTCATATGCGGGACGGAGCATTTGGCTGGCCATGCCACGCAGGGCCCCGGTGAGCTTCCGAATGCATTCTGGGGACGGATCCGGCCAGGTACCTGACCCATAAAAGAGAGTCGAAGCGACCAAACTGTCGAACAGTAAAGCCTTGTCCTTGGAGCCGACCTTTGGAGAGGAGAAAACTTTCTGCTTTCGGGAGTTGAACGCAACCCAGGCCTGAGCTGTACGTGCTTTGACTTCGCGTAGTAGACAGCCACGGTGGTGAAGAACACCGCCTAAGTGCTTATAGGTCGCTGTCAGGCGCAGCCGGGCAGTTGTCCAGAGCCGGCAGCGGAGGGGAATGGATCCTCCCTGCTCAACAAAGAGCTGCTGGCGCACTTGTTTGGCATGACGCGCGCGAAGGTGTACAAGTGCCTCTGTTTTACCTCTTTTAAGGTTGGGGAGGAGGGCATGCTCAAGGCATTTGTCCAAGAGTGTTGACGCCCCTGCGGTCAACCGCTCAACAAGCTCGCGAGAATTCGCAGCCTGCAGGAGCATGGACAAGTCGTCCATCCAAGTTGCATCAAGCAGGGTGATGGTTTGGGTAGGGGCATGGTCCAGTGGCACTAAATTGCCGAGCATATCCGCATGCCACGGAATGGCTGGTACATGCCCCGCCTCTTCAAGGGCAGAGCGGACCTGCTTCAGGACACGTGCGAACAACAGACTGAAAACGAGGTCGGAGAGGGAATCCCCTGGACGTGACCCGATCGCAGTGGTGATCAGCTCATCCTCACCGGCGAAAGAGAACCACGTGTTCTGGAGTGTCTCCTCCAGAGCGCGGGCAACCCATGGGCTGGCCCCTGCGGCGGACGACAGTGGTAACTGTTGCAAGTGTCGCTGGATGTCGTGGTAGACTCCGCTAGGCATATGCACTGCGCGACATGCAGCTGCAATGGCCTCTTCCGTAAGGGGACCTCCTGTAACTAAAGGTCTGACAATGCGATAAAACGCTTCTTGCAAGTCCAAGAAGAGGACTCCATGGCAGGAGCCCTTCCGCAGGCAGGCGGATTGATACATTCGCGTGACATGGGCAGGCACAGTGACCGGATAGCCCGGTAAGCCTCCTACTTGGAGAGGCGATGCAACGTTTTGCAGTGCTGGGACACACTTTTTGCGGAGCAGCTTGTGCAGAGACTTGCTCACAACAGATGAGACGAGTATCCCCCGATATGAGGAGCAGAGTTGTCTCGAGCCTTTGTGCTTGTAGACACAGTGAAAAACCCCGCCCTTGTGTTGGACCGGCTCGGCGAGGGTGAGCAGGGACTTGAGCTGGAGCTGATAGATGGGTCTCGCGAGCAGCGGGGCACAGAAATGCAGGAGCTCACCTGGCAGCC